TATTTTTTTAAAACAACAGCAGAGTAGCGCACCTCCGGATTATTGCCTGTGCGCACGTTTTTCTTGCTTCCTCCGCGTCCTGCAGCAGCCTCGGTCTCGTACTTCTTCCTGTTCTTCTTCACATCCCGGACCAACCGTTCCGAGCACTTGAAGCGATCTGCTAGCTGCTCATGAGTCACCTTCTGATCCATCAGCTTCAGCATCTCACACTTGGCGCTGAAATCTGGCCGCGCACGAGGCTGAGACTTGTTACTCCCCCCATTCGTGGCCTTCGGACGTTTAGATTGTGCCTTCCCAGTGCTGTCTGCTGCTGACACTTTGCGCTTGCCGGCTTTGGCGACGCACGCGCTGCAGATGCGGTGATTCTCGTTGCCTACATCAACCACACTGCCGCAAATGCCGTGCAGTCGCCCGCCACATCCTCCCTGGCAGCCGTGACCATGAGGGTCTTGCGGCGTGGTGTCCTGTAGTTGGCACAGTTCACCTTCCGCACAGGGCATGGTACGCCCCTGTGTAGAGCTGTTCGGGTCTGCAGCAGCACGTGTACCCTATTTCTGTGTGTGGAGTCTATGTTTTCTGCCCTGGGTTGTGCGTGTGTGTGTTTCGCGCGTGCGGAGTACCGGCACTATTGGGGGTGACAGCAGTGCCGAACCGGCACTATATCGGGCATGCTTTAATTAGTGCCGGTCTGGCACTGTTGAGAGCTCCGCCTGTGTGCAGAGATTTTACCGGCACTATACCGGGCATCTGGCACTATTCAACCGGCACTAAAAGGGTCCCTCGACTGTATATGACTTTAAAATAAAAAAAAATGGATGCTGACAGAGGAGCGCAGAGCTGAGCGATGCTGCCCGGGGTTTCACAATGTATGCTGGCGTGCAAAGGGCTCCCCGGGGTGCGTTTCTAGCTACCCTTTGCAACCCACTTTCACCACGCCCCCACGCGACGACCGCCTGAGGGTGAAGCTGGCCTCTTCGCCAGGCGCGCCAACACCATCACAAGGGAGGTTATGTGCCAGGGCAGAGCGACTTCCATTCTCGGTGAGTCTTTTTGTCGTGACTTCGTGAGGGCANCAGAGCGAGTTTGCATTCTCGGTGAGTCTTTTTGTCGTGATTTCGTGAGGGCAGCAACCCGGGGTAGTTCCGAGCCGAAATCCACGTCGCAGGCGGGTCTGTGTCGCTGAAGAGGGGGATTTCCTGCCGTCGCGTGTATCGATAGTACATGTCTGAGGCTCTCTCTGGATAGAAATCCGTTTGGAAGATGGACTTGTGTCCGCAGACTTCTCGCCAAAAATGCGGACCAAAAATCTCACCGTGGTAGGAGCACCCTGCGAGGAAGGGTTCACCAGCAGGGGTTTTTAAAAACTAGAAACTGCCCAGGCTCGTATCACACACCCCGACCACCAACGCGCGCCACGCCAAAGCACGCCAAGTGCCTCCGCATGGACAGAATAAAACTTTGGTTTGTCACTCGGCTTCAAATTTGATCGTGTTGTGCGACCACGAGTCTCTGTATCCATTTGAGGGCGTTGTGTTGCTGCTCTTCTTGCATCACTCGAGCGCCAGAGATGAGATCCAAAGGAGACACATTTTGAACGCGCTCAGATCTAGACAGACTCTGTCCGCAGGCGCACGGCGTTATCACGGTTCATGAGCGCGTGAGCCCTGCCGACCACTGATTCTATCGTCAGTGTAAGGATCGTTCGCCGAATCGAAAGCCGTCATGTCAGCTAGAACGGTTAGGCTCTCTCCGGTACTGCCGAATCTCCAGGATGAGATAGACTACATCCGTACATGTGACAACTCGTCGATACTCTTGAGTTCCTTCAACATATTCGCTGCTGTACTTTCAAACGTCGTTTACGGTTGTTAGCAAAAAGTAGCGAGGGTTTCAAGATGCGACCCATCATTTTCTCAGTTCCTCTGCTGAAAGAGGCACCAACCCACAACGTGGAAATTACTTAGAATAACACCCCTCTTACTTGCGGTAGGGCTTGTGCTCGATGTTCCGCGCGCGAGTGCTTATTAATTGATGTGACTGCCGAGAGTGAAGCTGTCGTCGATTGCTGAGTCTGAATACAGCCATTCCGAAGTAGTGAGGCACTTAAATACGTACATATACCGTTGCACACGGCGACACCAAAAACCGAACATACTACAAGGAAGGATTCGGGGGCACCGAGGAAACGAGCACATCCCACGCCCAGCTGGAGTCGTCGCTCATTTGAGAGCAGTCGCGGCGCTTCGAGACAACGGGTACGTGTGACACCATAGAGTCCGGGGGTGGGGGTGGAGGAGCATGTCTCCAGCGTGTAAATGTTGTTGATGAACATGCGCATCTTGTCGACGAAGCTCTAGGCCTGGTTTCCCTGAGAGGTGCCGCGCTATACGTCCCTCTGTCCTGCTCATTCTCGTCCCCCGATCCTCGCCCCTTTGCGTTGTCTTTCGCCACTTCGCCTTCTGCCCCCCCACAGGATCCCGTGGAACACCGGTTCGGGCACATGCGCCAAGGCCTTGGGTCGCACAGAAACCCGACGGCTACGCAAGCGAAGGAACGGGCAGCACGAGGGGACCTGAATCGTGGTTTGCGCGGGGGTTCCCGCGCGAACCACAATCGGACTTCGCGGAAAGGAAGTGACTTCATCGCGTCCGGGGTCCGGGGACAGATCATCCTCCCGGTGACCGACGAAGAGCGGTCTGCTACGATGCGGGCGCCCTCGAGGAACCCTGCCTCAGCTGTGATGTTCTCGCGGTACCTAAGCGTTGTCAAACCCCGTGCGGACCCTACGGTAGAGGGTGGTGCATCCCAGGAGTCGACACCAGCCTCTGCAGGCCAGACTCCCGTAGTTTTCAACTCATACGCTCCTCGAGAGTTTTGGAAGCGGAAACGATAGCACTTGCTGTTTCAGGTCAAGTAGACAGGGCGTAGAGATGATGAGAGAGGGCTACAAGATTGCAGGTGTTTCGTTTTTTCTACCGGGAACAGCACGAAGTAGACCGTAGACTACAATCCCAGCGTGCCCAGCAGGCCATGTCATGTTTCTTTGCGGAAGCATGGGGCTTGCCCACGCACTGTTGTGCAGAGTGTGAAACGGATAGGACGGTATGCGGGAGGAGCGAGTCTGGCGCTCCCGTTATCGAGCCCAGCCGTATTTTCTTTTTTTTCTTTTTTATGTTGGGGTAGGGGGCTCGCCCGCCCAACCTGGGCAGCACGTGTTGGAGTGACTTCCCGGTTACGCAAAACCAGCAGGTGTATTACACCCGTTGTCGAATTATCTCATTTTTTTTNGGCGCTCCCGTTATCGAGCCCAGCCGTATTTTCGTTTTTTTCTTTTTTATGTTGGGGTAGGGGGCTCGCCCGCCCAACCTGGGCAGCACGTGTTGGAGTGACTTCCCGGTTACGCAAAACCAGCAGGTGTATTACACCCGTTGTCGAATTATCTTATTTTTTATTGCGAAGTATTCTCTATTGTTCTTTTCTTTTAGTTTAGAAGTTTCGGTACGTTTCCCTCCCTGCTGCGCACCGGATGTACAATGCACACAGGTAGGGGCTTCTCGGTTCCCAGTCCCCCCCCGATATCCTCTCTATGTAGATAGTCATGTCCACAATTTTGGGTGCACACGTATCGGATCGACGTTCGGATTCTTCAGTAACAGAGCCTTTTGGATGATATGTCCTGGGTGGTAGAAAGGTATTA